GGTAAGTGCACATGCCCTATAGCAAAATTTTTAAATAACAATAATAATAAAAAAAATTAAGTAAGTAATTCTTGAAAAATAAATAAATAAATGGTGGCAATTGTAGTAAGTCCTTACAAATACTGGGACACCAACTCCAGCTTTCAGAATTTACAGTTTTGTGGTTTGTGTTTTTTGCAGTTTTTTGTTTTCTTGTATGTTTAGATAAGGGAGGTTTCTGGTGTCAAATTAAATAAGATTGAAACTGGAAAAGCAATGTACAAATGGGAACCTTAATTTCTAAAGAACTGAACTTCTGTGGGTACACCCACTTTTCATATGTGTAAATTTTGGGCCCTGGTAGCTAAAAAATACCTGTGAAAATAGAGAAAATTACTAAAAATTATTTTAAATTATGATGACCATGGTATGGGATGTTCTACATTGCACTGAAGGATTGGCCATTTGCCTCCTGTGGACCCGTATTGCTATAAGTCTCTCTTTTGGCTGTTTTTAGAGTGGCTGTGAACTTTGAAAGGTTAAAATAAATTTTGAAATGTGGATACCTGATGTAGGCATACCCTCTGATGTGAAGAAGTGTCTAAATTGATTTTGAAGTTATTTAAAAGTTTATTTACTTATTCATTTATTTAATGAGGGAGGAGGACACTTGTTATGCCACCATCCTCTCTATGCCACTCTAGCCAGCTCACAGTGGTGTTCACAGTGTTCACACTCACCCAAGAACGGATCCCAGGACCTTACACTACGTCCAGTATTGTAGAGTGTCACTGTAGTGGGTTTTTCAATTTTTTTTTAATCACCTATTTTAAAAAGCTCTTTACAAAAGGCCAAATGATAAGCTTAATCAACTAATATAATGAAAGATTAAATGTACTAACATTTTCACTTAGTTACTATCTCACCCCAAGATAATTAAAAAAAAAAAAAACAACAAAACCACAAAATACCAGGGGTGGGAGGAGGATGGGAAATGGCAGAGGGTGAGAAATAAGGGGAAAAAAAAAAAATATATATATATATATATACAAGAAACAAGAAATAGAAAATTATTTGTTGACAATAACACGTATGATTAAGTTACTTTACAGTGTATTCTAGCTAGTAAATCACATTTGCTATGCTGTGGTGATGTTGAGTGAAAGTGTGTAAAATAAATTAATTAATAAAAACTTTTTAAAACTAGATAAAATAATGATAAAAACTATACTCTCAGGTCATGCAGTCATAGAAAATTCTTTCTTTGCCCTATTTATTGTTCAGCCCAGAAATCCAAAATTTAATCAAGGAACAAGAGAAGTTGAAAAGACTGCCTATTAACTATCATCTATGAAATACAACTTTCTGGCGTATTAGTTGGCCCTTTGGGAATGTAAATTTAGGGCTACCTGGATAAGAACTGGGGACAATGGAATAAGTAATCAAAAAATTTATAGTCTAAAGGGGAGGAAAAAAACTACTTAAAAACTGGCAAATAAAAAATCTTAATGAAAGCTATCAAATCTGCTTCTGTCCATATGTCTGTATGTCACTGTATTGTCTATATATGATGTTTCTATGATATTGTCAAATACATGTAAGAGCTCTATTTTATGAACTTAATGAAATAAGAATAACACAAACTGACAAAAATTAATTGCTTGATGCATATCAGTCATAAAAGTAAAAACGAGCAAGAAAAGTACATCTAACTTTTAACTTTTTAGTCTCTGCTCTGCAATATTTTTATTTATTGATGGAATAAAATTCTGGGGCTCTCTCAAAGGCATACACACATCTTGCTGTGAATTTAAGTCTTCAGTTTTGAGCCCGTAGATTCTGGGTCCAGGACAAATGGCCATGGCAAGGCCTAAGGAGGTGTGTATCTGTGGCACCTGGACTGTCATTCCATGGAATGGGACCAGGTCTAATGTGCCCTCATCCATATTCGCTGGGCCAGCTCTGCATCCTGGCCAGGCTGGGAGAAGTCTCCTGTAGGCATTGTCTTCACACCATCTGTGCTGGTCCTCTGTCTTCTGCCCTCTCTCTCCCCTGCATCTAAACCCAGTGCGTGTCAAGAACCTAGACAGGCTCTGCCCTTTCTAACTGCCTAGGGCACCATGTGGGAGCTCAGAGCCCAAGGAAATCAGGGATGAAACTGGAGAGGGTATCTGTGTACAACACCCCGAAGCTTTGGTTAGAACAAGGCTGACTGGTACAGTTTCAGTTTGGTTTTGTTTTATCTATCTTTTTTTTTTTTTTTTTAGAAAGCAAGAAATCACCTCCCAAGAGAGATGGCCATGCTGCAATCCCTTCAACTCCACTCTCTTCTTGGGATATTGGGCACACATACATACATGACTGGTGGGTGTTTAAGCCATTGATTCCAGGAAATGAACTGCGATTGACTATGTGGGAGTACAGAGATATAACCATTATGCCATCTGCTGGTCCCTGGTTGTGCTTTTTGTTTGTTTGTTTGTTTTTGTTTTTGTTTTCTAATTTATATAAACTTCAATTTATTCAAACATCACACTTTTGTAACATAAGAATGTGTTTACTTTGCAAGTGGTTCTTACTTTTAAAAAGGAAGAGTAAGAAGATTGTCAACTTTTTTTTCCCATGAGAAACTTAGCGTGATTATTAAAAATAAGTAAATTAAATGAATGAAAGTAGGATAAAGGTCTATAAATGAACTTGTCATGGTCTGAAGAAAATTTCAGCAATTTAAAAATCTCAAAATTGTGGGACCAGCAGTTTGTGTAATGGCTATGCCACTGGGCTCACATGCAGTCGACCATGGTTCAAGTCCCAGACCCGGTGGCTTAAACTCATGCTGGGTATGTGTGTGTGTGTGTGCCCAAGATCCAGAAAGGAGAATGGAAGAGAAGGGATTACATCATAGCCATCCCCCCAGGGGGTTATTTCTTGCTTTTTGCCTCTTCGTCTCTCTCTGTGTTTCTGGAGAGTGCACGTGCCCTATAGCAAAAAAACTCTCCAAAAAATAAAATAAAATCTTAAAATTTTGTTAACTTAATAAGTAATCATGAAATGTCTAAGTCATTCCTAAATAAGCTAAAATACTAAAACACAAATTAAGCGTAAGTTTAAAGTTTACTTACTTTGATATATTGTTTTATGTGTTACAGAAAAGCTAAATATATTTGGGTCTATTAATAAACATTAAAAATAATGATATGAAGAGGTAAATATTTCTAGAAATATAAAATTATATTAGTTTATGTAAGACTGCTTCACAATTGCTAAACATTAAAATTCTAACAAATATATGGTAAATAAAACTAGAAACAGAAAAGGAAACTATTCCATAGAAAAAAATAATGTGACATGTTTCATGAAGGAGATTGTGAAATATGAGGATATGTATTATTTAAGGAAAAGAGAACAATTTTTGTCCTAAAGTAGACTGACTAGTTTTTCCATTGTGAAAGGAAAGGGAAGTTTAAGTCAAATGACAGAAGTTTATGGAAGATGAATCTTGTAAAATAAATTTCATATGAGCAAGTAGACTCAAATTAGAAGATATTATTTATAAGTTTTCTTGAGTCTTTGCTATCTTGAGTCTTTGCAACAGTGAGCAGAAATTTTGGTTCACAAAAAGAATAAAAAGAACTCTGACAAGTACACATTTCTAATAATTTTGAGCAGGATCAGAATTTTCCAAAGCTTGGACCAACAGGTGATGTGGTGGTTAAGGTGCTGGACTCCTACATGGCCGACCATGGTTTGAGTCTAGATCTGGCAGATTGCTTTCTCATTGTCCCTGACTCCTCTTTTCTTCTCTCTCACTCTGTTAAGGACATGTGCCCTATTACAAATTTTAAAATAGTAATAGTAATAGATAAAATTAAAATAAAAATTATTTAAAAAAAAGATTTCCCAAAACTAATGAAGACACTGATACAGGTTTATGAAACTTCTAACCAAAATAAAACTAGAATGAAAATAAACTTACATGAGACTGAGTGAACTGATTTAGATTTTTTCTAGCTTCTTATTTGAAACGCTGCTGATTCTTTTAATATTGTGTTTTTCATATTTTTTTCTTTTAAGCCATCTACAGTTTACAATGATTTGGTAAAGTGTATTGGTGAATAGAATTGAAAATTTTACTCTTCTTTCAAGATCCCTCTAGAATAAGGAAATTATTCATGAGTATTTTTGTCTTTGGGTAAATATTAGTATTTTCATAAGTTACTATTTGTTCTCTTTTATAACAGAATATACTTGGAAACATTGGTTATGTTGCTAAGTCTTTGACCAAAATGTCATATGTGAGAATGCGTATTGAATACCAGGTTTCAGAGGTTCCCAGCCTTACAGTGATTGAGTAAAAATTGTCTCTCTCTGGCAGACCTAGGGATCTCAAGTTATTTTGGAGACCTTGAGAAGAGAGAAATCCACCCAGTTTATACAGATATTACAGACACAACTAATAAAGAGTCCTTGGCTTGGATCCTAAGCCTTGAAAGATAGGTTTTCTTATGGCATATTCATAGTTGTGTCCCCACCCATAGGAGAGCTTTACACTAAGTAGGTGCTCAGTAAACAATTATTGTAAGATGTTATCTTAAATTGAATCAGGAAGGTTTGAATCTGTTTCTGAAAGAAAAATTGTTCTTCCCAAGTCCATGCTTTCAATGCAAATTATAAATCTTAAGAGTCGGGGGACCAGCAGGTGGCATGGTGGTTAAGGTGCTGGACACTCCCACATGGCTGACCACAGTTCAAGTCCTGGACCTGGCAGCTTGCTCTCTCTCTCTCTCTCTCGTCAAATTAAAATAAATGAATTAATAAATAAAAATAATTCTAGGAAAAAAAAAAGAGTCGGGAAGGAAAGACAGTATGAAGAACCATGAGGTTGACAAGTTGGCCACAAGTTAACTAATACAGGTAGAAAGACAAAGGAGAAAAGTATAGACTTGTTGGCTTAGGAATTAGATTGTAAAAGATACTAGTTAAATGGTATGATCTTCTCTATTTTAGCTGGCTCCATGACAATGGAAAGTAAGAACCAAACCAACCGTGTCTCTGAGTTCATCCTCCTAGGACTCTCCTCCCGGCCTGAGGACCAAATACCACTCTTTGTCCTTTTCCTCACCATGTACCTGATCACCATTACAGGGAACCTGCTCATCATTCTGGCAATCCACACCAACCCTCAACTCCAGACCCCCATGTACTTCTTCTTGAGTTGCCTGTCTTTCACTGACATTTGCTTCACAACAACCATCATCCCCAAGATGCTGGAGAACTTCCTATCAGAAAAGAAGACCATCTCCTATGCCGGGTGTCTAACACAGATGTATTTTTTCTATGCTTTGGGCACCACTGACAGCTTCCTTCTGGCAATTATGGCCTATGACCGCTATGTGGCCATCTGTGACCCCTTCCACTATGTCACTACCATGAGTTACAACCGATGTGTCCTCCTGGTGGCATTCTCTTGCTCACTTCCTTATTTCCATTCACTCTTGCATATACTTATGCTGAATACTCTTATCTTTTGTGACTCTAATGTCATCTACCACTTTCTCTGTGATATCAACCCTCTGCTTAAGTTGTCCTGCTCCTCCACATATGTCAATGAAATTATAATAATGTCAGAAGGATCTATCGTCTTAGTGACTCCATTTCTCTGCATTGCTTTCTCTTATATTCGAATTCTAATCACAGTTCTCAATATTCCCTCAGCTTCTGGGAAATTCAAAGCCTTCTCTACCTGTGGTTCCCACCTGACAGTGGTCACCCTGTTTTATGGTAGCATCTTCTATGAATACTTACATCCTTTGTCTAGCTACACTGCTAGAGACAGGGTGGCAACTATTGTCTATACAGTTCTGTCCTCCATGCTAAACCCTTTTATCTATAGTCTGAGAAACAAAGACATGAAGAAGGGCCTGGGGAAGCTAATGGGCAGGAAGAAACCCTAGTCAGGACCTCTCCACACATGTCCATGAGTGTCTCTGTTCCTCTGAACCCAGTTTCTGCTTCTTCTTGATACAATAAACTCTTGTAAATCAACAGGAATGATCTATATGTGTCATTGATGTTGGGTTGAATCCATTTCTTCAGACATACAACTATATTCCTTTGAGACTATATTATAATTTGGTACTTGGCTGAAGTTCTACCTAATCTTTGTGTCCAGTTTTTATATAGCCTGCTGTCTCCTTTCCTTCTCTTCTCTAGTAAACCATGTCTTTTTCACTTGTTCTAAAAGATTTTGAAAATCTTTGTCTTCCCCCAAAACTTCTAGGTAAAAAATTCATACTTACTCAATAACATTTCATCCCCTCAGCATCCTTCTTATTTTATCATACTCAATAATCTGGGTTTTTTTTCAACTCATTAAAAGTCCTAACAGTGATGTAGGATATGACTGAGAAGGATTTAGAGGGAGGTATAAAACAAGTGATGGAAAGGGGAAAGAGAGATTGAAATTCCCATAAAATTGAAACTTCTTCCAAAGCAAGAAATGTGTCTGACCTATTAGTTTATTCAGGGATCACATCTCTCTGAATCCATTCTTTTCCACCCATATCACATAAAAGGATCAGAAACAAGATATGAGTGAGAAGGATCAAGAGGTAGGAATAGAAGGAGTGATGGAGAATAGTTTGAGTGGGAAACAAGACATACTTATAGTTTTCCCCTAGGTGTTGTGAACTCCCTTGAATTCTCTTATAATGTGGTTTGAAAAATCTAGATCATCCAAACATCACCAGAACATCGCATTGGTCCACAATGGTAGTAAAATCATGGTAATTTGACCAGATAACCAAGAAGCTGACACCATGTTGGAGCCTTAGGAAGACAGAAGCACTCTGAGGGTGGGAGACAATCAAAGATGCAGGAGTGTTCCAACATTGAGACCATTTCTAGAAATTTATTTATACAAGACAGATACCAGAAATCTAGGGCTGTAGAGCATAGTCCCTGCAATCAGTTGACTAAGAAAGGAGAAAACCTAAGCATGATTTACAATTGGGTCAACTCAGTTCATAAGTACAAATCAAATGTGGATAATGACTAAACTATAACACATTCAGGGGTGTCTTATTAAGACAGAACTTAGCTTTAAATTTTCTTTGTGGATTGCCTTGGCTGGAGGAAACGACTTCACCAAAGAGCATGTCTCCTTCAAGAAACAGTACTGGGACCAGCAGTTAGTGTAATGGCTATGTTGCTGGACTCCCACGTAGTCGACCGCGGTTCACGTCCCGGACCGGGTGGCTTAAAACTCACGCTGGGCGCGTGTGCGTGCATGCCCAAGATCCCAAGAGGAGAACAGAGGAAAAGGGATTGCGGCGTGGCCATCCCCCCTGGGGGGTGATTTCTTGCTTTCTGTCTCTCTGTCTCTCTCTCTCTGTCTGGCGAGCACACACACCCTATAGCAAAAACCTCTCAAAAATAAAAAAAAGAAAAAGAAAAAGAAAAAGTCCTTATCCAATGACCAAACTGGTCATTACAGACAACCAGCTCTCATCACCTAATTCCACAGCCCCCCATTGAGTCAACTGAGACCTTCATTTGACTGTGTCACAACCCAATTTCTCCCACTGCTGAATTCTCATCCCTTTCTCTTCCTTTCACAGCTGCAGATCTCCAGAGCACTCCTTAATATCAACCCTCCATGCTAATCTGTCTCAAAATCTTGTTTCTAGGGAATGCAAACTACAACACTCACTATTTAACACACACACACACACACACACACACACACTTCCATCACTTTTCATTACCTTCTTTTAAGGAAATTAAAGAATGCCCACAAGATGTTATGGTACATTTGAACAGCTCTGAAAATAGCCTCAGTCTCCAGAAAAAGGTCCCAGGAGACCCCTGTCCCTGAGGGAAGCTCCAGTCAATTCCGATGCCCAGTGTTATTACTGTATCTAGAGAACTCACAGAGCAAATTCTCTTGAGGGTCACGATGAAATGAGCACACCAAAGCTCCATCAACCCAGCAAACACCTGAAGGAGGCCAGAGAGCACAGATCAACCCATGAGAAGCTGATGGGACTTCCCCAAGCAAGAGAATTTCTTCCATAGTGAGTCTGAACATCTCTGCTTTCTATTTTGGGAGGCAGAAAAAAGCAGAATAATTCTGGGAGACAGGTTGGTAAAGAGACAGAGATGTGAGGTTACATCAGGAAAATGCTCATTTCTCTAGCTTTGAAACAATCTGCCCTTTCTTCATTCCTCTCATTTCTTCTTATAGTTTCCTGACAAGGATGTCAGATAGGTCAGCTTTGATTGGTGTGAATCAATTTGGAGAAGTAATTGGGGAGGAGACAGACTTCATATAAACTGGGAAAAGAGAGAAGATAACTGTTTATTGACTGTGAACATCATTGGCTTCCAACCTGACAATCACCTCAACCAGGAACTTATTCGAGAAGCCCTGGCAGTTACAAAATGCGTGACTCTTGGGCCTGGTGGCACCTGCCCTATGGAAAAAATCACATGAATCTAGTACATCAGGGAAGAAATGGTTGACCTGAATTTTCAGGGTCCTCTGTCTTCCTTATGAAGTTCCAGGGTGTAAGTTCCTCTGGACTAGACTCTGCTCTTTCGGCATTGAGCCCCCAGTGTTTTTTTTTGTTTGTTTGTTTTGCTTTGTTTTTTTTTTTTTAAGAGAGATTTTTTTCTATAGGGTATGTGCACTCACCAGAGAGACAGAAAGTGAGAAATCACCCCCGGGGGATGCTTTACTGCAATCCCTTCTTCTTCCATTCTCCTCTTGGGGTTTTGGGAACATACATACACATGTGTTCAACGTAAGTTTTAAGCCACCAAGTCCAGGACTCAAACCATGGTTGACTACATGGTAGCCTGCAACAAAACCATTATGCCATCTATGATCCGGAGTTCTAGTGTTTTTTTGTTTCAAATCCAGAATTAGATTGCACTGTGAGAGAATGCTTGATTTGAGTGCTTCGAGGTACCCAGAGTTAGTTTGTGTTGTGAAAGGAACTTGTTTTTGGTTTTTAAAAGCTGCAATTTTAACAGTAAATGATGGTCAGGTGGCATAGTGGTTGAAGCACTGGAGTCGAGTCCTGGACAGTAATTCCAGTCATGAACCTGGGAGCTTGCTTTCTCATTGTCTTTCTTTTTTTCTTTCTGTCTCTCTCTCTCTAGTAAGCACATGTGTCCTATAGAAAAAATTTTAAATAATAATAAATAAAATTAAATAAGTAATTCTTTAAAAAAAAAAAAAAAAGTAGGGTCGTAAGTTCTAACAAATGCCAGGACACAAATTCTAGCTTTCAGAATTTACAGTTATGTGGGTTATATTTTTTGCAGTTTTTTTTCTTTTGTGTTTAGATGAGGGAGGATTAAATAACACTGAAACTGGAAAATCAAAGTAAAAATAGGAATCCTAATTTCTTTTTTTTTTTATTTTTAATTTCAGTTTATTTTATAAATTTAATCACTATACATCACTTAGCTTCTAAGTTAAATTTACCCCACATGAATATGCTTTCCACCAGTCCAGTTGCGGATACAAAACACACTATAATCAACAGATAATAATCCACTTCTGCATCCCATAAATGTCTTGCCACTCTATTTTCCTCCTTAATTTCTTTCTTTATACTCTCTCCCTTCTAACAACCTTTTCCCACATTGTCTCCATTATCTATACCCATTTGCAATGCTTCTACTAATCTTTCAGTTTCCACCAGAGAGTTCGGTCTGTCAGTATATGTTAAGTGGAGACATATAATGTCTCTCTTTCATAGTCTGGCTTGCTTTATTCAACAGTAAATCTTCTATATTCGCCCACTTTCTATCGAAAGCCAGGGTCTTGGTGTTTTTTATGGCTAAATAGTATTCCACAAAGTATAAATGCCACACTTTTCCAATCCATGGATCTGTTTGTGGACGTTTGGGTTGGTTCTAAGTCTTAGCAACTGTGAATAATACTGCAATAAACATAGATGTGCAAGCACTTTTCCAACTGAGCGTTCTCCTATCTTTTAGATAATCCTAATTTCTAAAGAACTGAATACCTGCAGGTACACCTACCTTTTACATATGTAACTTTTGGGCTCTGGAAGCTAAAAGTACAAGTGAAAAAAACTAAAATACTACTAAAAATTGTTTAAAATTATGATGGTCATGGTATGGGATGTTCCACATTGTACTTAAGGATTGACCTTTCCCTCCCATAGACATTCCCTCCCATGCTGTAAGTCTCTCTTTTGGCTGTTTAGAGTAGTTGTGGACATTGACAGGCTAAGATACATTTTGAAATGTGGATAACTGAAGTAGGCATGCCCTCTGCTGTGAAGAAGTGTCTAGGTTGATTTTTAAAGTTATTTAACAGTTTATTTATTCATTCATTTATTTCATGAGGGAGGTGGACATCTGTTACACCACTATCCTCTCTATGTCACCCTAGCCAGCTCACAGTGGTGTTCACATCACCCAAGAACCAAACCCAGGACCTTGCACTATGTCTTCAGTAATGTAGAGTGACACCCCATCTTCAGTGCCATTGTAGTGGGTTTTATCATTTTTATCACCTATTTTAAAAGGCTCTTTACAAAAGACCAAATGAGAAGCTTAATCAACTAATATAATAAGAAATTAAATGTACTAACATTTTCGCTTAGTTACTTTCTCACCCCAAAGATAATTTTTTTAAAAAGCTAGATAAAATAGTTATAAAAATTATACTCTCAGGTCATGCAGTCGTAGAAAATTATTTTTTTGCCCTATTTATTGGGTCTACTCAGAAATCCAAAATTTAATTAAAGAACAAGATAACTATCATCTATGAAATACAACTTTCTGGCATTTCAGTTGGCTCTTTGGGAGTGCAAATTGAAGGTTGGCTTGCTAATGATTGCAAGGGACAATGAAGCAAGAAACCAAAAAGTTGAGTGTCTAAAAAGGAGAGAAAAACTATTTGAAAAGAGGC